AACTTAGAAAGGCTTTGAAGATGGGGATCAGCATCACAGCCAGGGAATTAGCATTTCCACAAGTAGAGGCTTGTAGTTTCCTTCAGTAAATCCAGATTTGCATATAGGAAGTCCCATATCACAAAACCCCTTACCCTTTCCTTGTATGGCTTTCGCTCACACCCGACCGTTGCCAAACCACGCAACACCAGATTCTGTTTTTTAAAAAGGTTGATGACTTCTAACCTAATATAATCAGATAGAAGGACATTTATGATGAAGCCTACCTCTGGTTCACCTTCACTATGTCGGCTATACTGTTCTCTGCCAAGAGAAGTACTGCAGCCCCCACATGACTCCACCTGCTCCCAGGACCATCCAATGCATTCAATGCTCTTTTTTTAGCACAATAAAAAACCTAAACACAACAATATTGGGTTTTCAGTGGTGTAGTTGCCACAAGTGCGTAGGATTGCAGTGTTAAAAAATAGAGCAGGCTGCGTTTTTCCACACTGCAATGCATGCAAATGCATGTAAAGGCATCTCTTAGGAGTTGATGGTACCTCCTACAAAAATGCATGTGCAATTTGCACGCTTTTTCCCCCCTAATGCTATTTTGTCGTGAATGGGCCCTTATGCCAACTGCTGGACAACCAGAGTGTGGATGAAAGTCAAACATAATGCTGTGTATCAAGGTACATGTGTTATCACTGAGTGATTCTAGGGCAGTGGAGGTCAACTCTCTCTACATAAATGGCCTTAAGTGTGTCTCCTGACATCATCAAAGGGCCGCATATAATATTCAGTGAATGTAATACTACTGAAAGCTGTCAGAGTGCAGACATGCAAAGTGAGGTGGTCAGAAACAAAAAAAGATGCTGTAAAATATGGTCAGATAGGACCATAAGGTTTCCATAGGAGAAGGTAAGAGGCTAACAGTGACACTAAACTCAGGATTTAAATCTTAAAAATACATTCAAGTACCTTAATTATTAATAGCAATGTATTCTATTTGTGTATCACTCGGCTGTAGATCCTCAAATCATCTCTGAATTGGTGCGGACACTGTCCTTCCTTCTGGAGGGTGACTACTTTTGTTCCCCATGGTCCCTGTGTGTTGTATAGTAGTCACCGCTCCAAGCTCACTCCTGTGATGGACTACAGTCTCTATACAAATCAGAAAACTAAACATGAGATTGTAGTCCATCATGGGAGTGAGCTTGGCGCGGTGACTACTTTACAACACACACAGGGGCCATGGGGAACAAAAGTAGCCCCCCTCCAGAAGGAAGGACAGTGTCAGCACCAATACAGTGATGATTGGAGGATCTACAGCCGAGTGATACACAAATAAGATACATTGTTGTTAATAGTTAGGGTGCTTAAATTGTATTAAAATGTATCTTCTGAGTTTTTAGTGTTACTTAAAGAGATACTGTAAGAGATACAAAAAGACTGCAGGCACGCAATACAGAAGATGGTCAGACTAAAAAGATGCTGCGAGGGGTAGTAAGAGACTGCAATCATGCAACAGGAAATGGCCGGAGACTTTTGGCAGGCTGCAGGAGATGGTCAGAGACTGCAGACATGCATTAGAAGTTTGGGGACACATTACATGAGACTGCTAGATATTATTACAGCCTCTTTACAAATCAATGCTTTAACATTTGTGCACTCTACAGCCCCGAACAAATTACTCATGCCACATTTACTATTTCCCTCGGGGCCACCCTGTGGGTGGCACAATAGGTTCCAAAGGGCCGCAGGTTGTTCACCAGGGTCCTAGGATGAACTTTCACTTTAGAGCAATATGTTGGCGCAAAAATTCAATTTTGCCTGTGTTGGCAAAAATCCTAGCACCGGCCCTGATCCTGCACTAGGCACTGTATGCATGCATGCATTGAGATTGAGGGTTATAGTGCTACCATGTCCATGCATCCTGCACTAGTGACTGTGTATGCATGCATTCAGATTGAATCAATAAGGCAATATAAGGTTAAAGTGCAGAGCGCAGCATTCCATAGCAGCCTATCCGATTTCACTATTACAAAACCAGATAGACCAAAACATGGCGATTTATAACATGCAAAATGATGCCACAGTTGCTGTGGGTTACTGTAACAGGTTAAATCACGTGATGGACCTGTGTCTTTATTCAACCTCAAATACTATGTAACTATGTAAATAAACCTGTCAGTATAAAGACTTGAAATATTTCCGCGTGCAGCCTAAAGCTGTATTGTGCATTGCTTTGTCTTCCCCTGCGCAATGTTCATATCGGTAATGTAGAGACATCGGATCATATGGTCAGAAAAAAGGAAACATTGACCGATGCGTGGCTCCCCCGAAATCATGCTTGCCGACGGGTGTTTATGAGCTGGCCTAATCTGTTTTTACTGTGCACTTGTTTGTAAGGCCCCCCCCCTCCCTGCCCCCACGCTGTGTAATGCTTTTGTATAGCTGATAATGCCGCTCGGATTGTCATTTGATAAAGGATGTTCCAGCGGCATGTGAGAGATTTCATGACCATATATGGCAATTGCCACAGGCAGACCCGTTCTGTTCGGACCGTTTGATTGTCTCCAGGGTTACCTACTGATTTCCCTCTCTGGGAATTTTTTTTTTATCCCTGGTGAACGACGTTTTACGGATGTCCGCTGTGGAAACAGATCATCGGCGCAGTTTGCACATTTGCAGCGTCTCGTAGTCGATTTCTGCTCACCTACAAGGAGCTGCGTTCATTTCCACGGGTAGAAGGTATAGGCGTCAGTTCACTAAGCTTCATTTATTCTCATCAATTGTATTCCATAAGCCATTTCTCATCAGACAGCTGGGGACTCATTATTCCTTTGCATGGACTAGTGAACATGGCACCCGGTCTATATTTTCTTTCATTGAGTGCATGCACGCTGAGTAATATTGAAGCGTTAGGGCCCTTTCACACCTGCAATTAGGACTTTATCCAAAAAGCTGTGGGTTCCTGCGGCCAGAATGACAGGTGTGTGCGAATAGCGGCTGACATTCAGCCTATACATGGCAATGACAGGCTGATGGTACCTGCGGTTGTTTGATGGTAATTCCAGCGACTAGCTGCAGCTAGGGACAGATAATAGTCCATGAATGTAGTCTGCATCCAGGGACCATCATCTGCCCCTACATGCAGGTTATCACCAGATATCGGATTACATTTGAATAGCTGCAGCCACCACCAGCCTGTCATTGCTTTGGTTCAGGTTGACAGTGGCTGCAGCTATTCATGGCGGTTCGGATGTAATTGAACAGTCACTTGCTGTTAGGGATACACGATCGTCCTTGGACGTGGACATCTGGAATGATCATCTGTCCTTTACTGCGGGTTATCAGTGGATGTCTGATTACAACAGAAGAGCTGCGGCCACAACCAGCCTGTCATTGCTTTGATTCAGGTTGATAGTGGCTGCAGCTATGCATGGCAGTTCGGATGTGATTGAACATTCACCGACTACTTGCAATTAGGGATACACAATCGTCCTTGGACATCTGAGGTGATCGTCTGTCCTTTACCACAGGTTATCAGTGGATGTCTGATTACAGCGGAATAGCTGCAGCCACCACCAGCCTGTAATTGCTTTGCTTCAGGTTGAGGTGGCTGCAGCTTTTCATGGCGGTTCAGATGCAATCAAGCATCCACGGATTATCTGCAGTTAAGGACAGATGATCATCCCAGATGTCTGCTTCCAAGGACGATCATCTGTTCTTAGCAGCAGGTAATCGGAAAATGTCCAGTTACATCTGAACAGCTGCAAATGGCTGCGTCCGCTGTTAGCCTGTCATGGCTTTGTTTCAAGGCTCCTAATCAAAGCAACAGCAGCCTAAAGGTGCCCATACGCTGCACGATTCTCGTACGAGAATCGCGGGAAATCCCACGATCGTGCAGTGTATGGAAGGCGTGCAACCGTTTCTACTGTACGGTCGCACGTCTTCCGTCGAACAAGCAGGCTTGAAAACCCGCCAAAATCATACGATTCTCGGCGGGTTAGTGGCCTGCTTGTTCGACAACTGCCGCACACTGCCCGTTTGCAGTCATCGGGAGCCTGTCCCTCATTGCAGTCATCGCAAGCCCGCCCCTCAGGGGGGCTGGCTTGCGATGATCGCAAGTACGATCTGCCTGTCCAAGATGGGCAGATCGTACGAGCTTTTAATTAGCTTACAACCATCGCAAGACAAGTCTTGCGATGGTTGTAAGGTGTATGGGCACCTTAACAGCGGCCGCAGCTATTCACGGCTGTTTGGATGTAATCAGACATCCACTGATTTTTCTGTAGTTAAGGACAGGTGATCATCCCAGACATCCGTGTCCAAGGCGATCACCTGCCCCTAATTGTAGGTCATCAGTGGATATCCGATTGCATCCCAACAGCTGCGGCCACCGTCAGCCTGTCGTTGCTTTTATCAGGAGCCTTGAATCACAGCCATGACAGGCTGATGGTAGACGCAACTCTTCGCGGCTGCTCAAATGTAATTGGACATTCACCAATCGCCTGTGGTTAGGGACAGATGATCGTCCTTGGATGCAGACATTTGGAATGATCATGTGTCATTAATCACAAATAATCAGTGGTTGTCTGATTACATCCGAACTGCCATTAATAGCTGCAGCCACGGTCAGCCTGTATCCAAGCAATGACAGGCTGGGGGTGGCTGCAGCTATTCTGATGTATCCTGACATCCACTGATAACCCGCAGCTAATCACAGATTATCCCAAATGTCCACGTCTGAGGATGATCATCACAAAAGGAATAGAGGGTAAATCTTCCAGATACTTGTTTCGGTGGCAACTAAGGCTGGCCATACACCAATCAATTTTTTTTTGTTCAACCCGCAGGCTGAACGAAGAAAATTGACCCGATTCCCCCATCAACACAAACAGCGTGTTGATGGAGGAATCCCGCTGTTTGCATTGCCCCCCTCCTTAATATTTAAGTTATAAGTAACATTGTATAAAATATAAACAATTCCTTTTTTTGTTTTATCTTGACAGGTGGACAGAACTCATGTTAAAAGAGTAGCTTGTTGGAGACGTTCTTCCAGAAAGTGGGTGGAAAAGGTAAAATTCTGGACTTCAAATAATCTGTTTGTAGCTTGTTTGAGTGAACCTGAATGTGACATTTCTGATTCTTTTTACTGTATTTGGTTATGACAGCAAAAAGCTTGTTTATCCACTGCAGCATTTGTGCTCCTCCTGGGAACCTGAGCTGTCAGATGTTTGGGGCCTGAGCAATGAACAAATAATGATTGTGGTTGTATTGCCTGTAGCAGAGGTGCTGAAATGTTTTGTGTTGGGGCATTCATCTAATTCACCTGTATTGAATGTTACAACGCACCTTTTAAACTTTAGAGTGTGCTGCTTTCTTTCGCAATATTTACTTCTAATAATGGGGAAATGGAGCTTGTGACAGGGTGACCAGGGCCGGATTTACTCTCTCTGCTGTCCCAAGGCCAGGTTCTTCAATGTGCCCCCCTACCCGCCAAACCCACTCCCCCCCCATGGAGAATGGTAGACCTGCAGGCAAGGGGCAGATTCCCCGCTGTACATTTACTTGCCCATAACAGGGCTAAATGTAGAAAACAACTACTCACCCGATGCCCAGAACTGCATGTCCCGGGCATCGGGAGATAGGAATTCCACACCCCTGCTGCCCCTCTACTCCCTGCTGCCCCAAGGCCCGGCCTAGGTTGGACTTGTGGTAAATCCTGCCCAGAGGGTGATAGTGCAGGGGCACAAAGGGGGACAGCTGTCACTCTCAAAACAAAAACAGGAAGTTCCCGAACAAGGACCTTTGTGGCAGGATCACCCAGTATTCTTTTAATGAAACCTGCAGATAAAAAAAAAAAATGAAAACAACTTTACATCTACTTTAAAAAATCTGGGCCGTGTAGTCACTGTTTCTATTTTGTGTATGGAATTTTGGTGATAAAGTTTTACTTATTTTAGGTTCTTTTGGGCTGCCTTTGTGTGTGAACTTTGTACCTCTGCCCAGCCCATACAACACAGAAACGATTGCTCCAAAAACCCAGTGGGGTTGTATACGGCCACATGCACATGGGCGTAACACGGTACAATGCGAAGCAATTTTTGTTTACAGATCGGAATGCGGGTGTATTGTTTTCAATGGGGACTTGTACACAGATGCGCAAAGAGGCACCACGTTCAGATCTGCAACCTAAAAGTGAAAAATCTGCATCTGAGTACATAAAGTTTATACATCTAAACCCTACCTGGCGTTTATTGGGCCGTATCCAGCCGACCTGCACTCATTTATGGTTGGCTGACAATGGCTGGTGCATCCACTGCACCCTATAGCCCAGCACAGGTCAGTGATCAGTCCGTGTCTGTTCTGCGTTCGTCTTCAGTCGTTGGTTGCTAGGACTGCTTGCATCCTAGCAACCAATGACCTCGGAGGCGGTCCTCCTCTTCAGTCATTGGTTGTTAGGACCACTAGGCGGTCTTGGCAACCTATAACGTCAGGGGTCCTCTGCAGTCATTTTGTTGCTAGGACCACTGTGCGGTCTTGGCAATCAGTAACGTCAGGGGTCCTCCTCCTCTGTAGTCATTGGTTGCTAGGGCCACTGGGCGGGCCTAACAACCAGTGACATGTCTTCCCACCCCCAGTTCGTCCTTTATCCTCCTCTTGCAGCTTCAGCCCCACCTGTGGCCTGAAAAAAAACAAAAACAGTATGTGCCGCATACTTAGTGGGGTGTCCTACTATTTGGGACAGTATGGGGGCCTCTTCACACCTATGTGTGGCAGTGTGCAACTCGCCTACTGTGCGTTAGTGCGGCAGGTGTGTAGCAGCCACACCCTACGGCCGCACGGGATCGCAAGGCACATTATGCCTGCGGTCGGGTGCGATCAAAATGCTGCAAGCACTATTTTGATCGGGCATAATGTGCCTTGCGATCCCGTGTGGCCGATCGCATTGCAGCCGGAGGGTGTGGCTACGGTGTCATTCACTTCAATGGCCTGTCTCGCCCCCTCCAGCCTGGCAAAAAAGTGAGCCGGCCACAATGCGAGACAGTGCATTCTGGCCTAGAATCGGGCCGCAACGCACTCAATCTGGTGTGAACGGGCCCTTAGTGTTTGTAACTCTCCACCATATTATTTATTATGAAGCCAAAACAAGGAGTCTTGCTCATCTTGCTGCATTCTCCATCATTGGAAATTAAGGGGGAAATCCAGTGGATAGCCTTACAGTTGTTTAAACAGGATGAGACTAGCTTAAAGCTGAAGTTTAATCTGCTTCTATTTTTGCTTTCCCTGGTTCCTTCCTCATCATCATAATGAGATTTTTAATTAAAACCTTTCCTTTCATTACACACCTTGTTTTAGACTAAACAATGCAGGCAGGTCATGGCTGGTGGGAGGAGCCAGAAGGGTACTGTACATAGCTTCCTGAAAACTGCCTCAGTACTCCTCAAGAGCTCGGGCCCTGATGAAAGCAGTGGGCGGGTTCTTAGGAGAAGTTATGCCAGCCATGCACATTCTTGATGAACCAGCTGGCTTTCCCTCACTGGGTGGCCCTGTCTGCTACCTCCCGCTTGACATCCTTCAATTGAAATTTTAGAAGGAGCCGGGTGGGAAATTGTCATCCGAATAGTGCCTGCATCCAATCAGATGTAGACACTGTTCGGGTATTTTGATAGCCACCAGACTGACTGGCAAAATACAGTGGCCGCAGTGGGAGATTCCTTCATCCACCCACCATGGAGGAATCTGTTAGATTTGCCTGAAAGCAGAAACAAATGAACTATTGTATGCCCAGCTTTATGCAAAAATCAAAATGCTTTTTGAAGGGTAGGCGATAAGGGGGGGTGTCCATAGACACATTGACCAGCCTAGGTAACACCCACATGTGACGCTGAGCCCCCATGATTGAAAGAACTGAAATCCAGTAAATAAAAGGGAGTGGCGGGGACAGTTAAGGTCCCCACACACCTTACGATAATCGTACGATGATCGTGGGAAATCCCGCGATAGTACGATTATCGTAAGGTGTGTGGAAGCCGTGCGACCTCTACTACTGTAAGGTCGCACGACTTTAAACTTACGAACATGTTTCAAAACCCGCCGAGCATCGTACGAGTGTGTAGCATGTTCGTAGGATAAAAGCCGGAAGGGCCAGTGTGCGCAAGCGCACACTGCCCGTTCGGTTGGGCGAACATGCACTTCACCCCCCCCAAACCAATTTAATGCCAAGGTCTCTTCCTCTGACTGTTTATAACAGATGTGTTTTGTGCGGGGCCTTGACAGGTTTATGTTCTCCGCACGGCACCATAACAAAAGCTTTAAAGTTTATCTAAACCTCTGAACAGAATTTGAGTATGTTGCGGCGTGTCCGTGCTTGATGTGGTGGCTGTGGAGTCTTCTTTTGTTGGACTTCTGTCCCTCTATTTTGGCCAGAAATGCACTTCCTGTCCTGGGGTGACAACACTTTTCTTGTGCTGTACCTGTGGATGAACAACATTGTCATTCTAGAAGTGCTAGGACTACAGAACACCCACTCCTCTCCCAATCTCCATAATATGGGAGGGTGTTTTGTAGTCCGCTGAGGGAACAGCAGAAGGATGAAGGCCGATAATGCTACTTGGTACAAAACATGGGAAAATGGGCACGTATTTTATTTTGGACTGGCATACATGCACACATGTTGTAATCCACTTTTTAGGCCTGGAAATTACTTAAACCCCACGAAAGTTATCCATTTCCTGAAAGCACAGACTGTCAAATAAAATGGCGGCAGTTGCAAGCCCCTATGTGATTAGTATATTAGTGGTGACAGGTTCTCTTTAAGTAAAAGATGGACACCGGCACTCCAAAGCAAATCCCAGTACGTCTATTTATTCACGTACTTGTTGCAAATGCAAAACACAAGATACAAAGTTTCGGGGTCTCACAGGATCCCCTTTATCAGGCAAATAAGTGTATTCAGGTTCTCTTTAATGTGACATTAGGGGTCTGTTAGACCCCTTGTGTCACCTTTCCACTTTAAAGAAGCTATTCAAGCACTGATCATACTCCAATAGCTTCTCCCTTGGCTTCTCTAGCCGGTGAATGACCAAGGAGGAACCAGAAGTGATGCAATGGGCATCGCCTCCAGCGTCATTCAGCAGGGAGGAGATCGGTGAACAGATGTTGACCAGTCTCTCTCCCCGCCTCTCAGGTCAGCAGGAGGGGCAGTTGAGCTCAGGAAGCAAGGTGGAAGGATGTCGGTTGGAGGGGACCTTGTTCGCCGGCCCCTGGAAGCGATCTGGCGGCAGCTGAGCCGCCAGAATCGCTTCTAGTGTAAAGCCAACAGACATCTTTACACGGGTAAACCGAGACCCAGCGAGGTATGTAAGGGATATGGTGCTGGCAGGGGACGGGTTAATTGTTCAGTCTGATCAAACAGAAGCAGCCAATGCGTAACAGGGGGCAACAACACTCCCCCTTCATCAGGGCTTAGAATGAGGTAAGGATGAGGGTTTGATTTGCTATTATTGGAAGATACTATAACTAATGGATCGATCTGCTATTGGATGCAGCAAATAAACATGTCAACAGTATGAACACCTCCAAATGATCCCTTTTTGGAAAGTAGACACCCCAAGGTGATCTAATATTTAGCCATCATTTTTTGGAAATGAAAAAACATACTGGGATTGGAGGGGATAAAACATGGAACGGAGCCATTCATGCTTTGGCTGCCTGTACCTTATCTCTGCAGTGCCGTTTATGAACGGCATTCCAGAGATACAAGTCCACCACTCCACCGGTCTCAATTATGCAGCGGGCGTGGCCACAAACCAACCAGGGTGCCTATGCTGACCCATGCACACCCCCAAAAGCGCCTACAATAGGCTTCTAAGCATCAGAACTGGACCACGGAGCAATGGAAGAAGGTGGCCTGGTCCGATGGATCACATTTTCTTGTACATCATGTGGATGGCCGGTGTGTGTGTCTGTGTGTGTGTCACTGGGGAAAGAGATGGCACCAGGAAGCACTATGGAAAGAAGACAAGCTGGTGGAGGGAGTGAGATCCTTTGGGCAACGTTCTGCTTGGAATCC